CCTGGGCGAGGTCGGAGGTAAAAGGCGGAACCGTGGCTCCTCGGAGGCCTGCAGGAGCTCGCTGAGCCTGGGAGGAGTTCAGGTGGCCCCAGGGCCTGCTGCCCGCACCAGTGGTCTCGGTCCCCTCGTCCTAGCTCCAGGCCTTTGGCCCCTGGGGCGTGGCGCCAGCTCCCCTTACTGATCAGACTGCCGGGTGGGGTAGGGACTGCCAGCCCCTTGAAAAGCAAAGAGACCTGATTACTTGGTGTCCTTTTTCCTTGTTTTTTTTGTTTTGTATTTTTTGTGCGTCTGGTTTTGCTTTTTTGAGCCAGGGTCTCACCGTGTAGTTCAGGCTGGCCTCACACTTGTGGCGATCCTCCCGCCTCAGCCTCCCAAATGCTGGTATTACAGGCTTGTTCCACGCAGGCTTTGTCTTTGTTAAGCAATAGCTATAGATAACATCCATCCAAGCTTGGGGTCTCCAAGGCCACTGTTGAAAAGGAATTATTAAAAAAAAAAGAAAAGAAAAGAAAAGGAATTATGCTTTGCGTGCACCTATAAGGTGATATGGTCCGGGAAGCCCAAAGCCCAGACTGCAGATGAGGTCTTGGACAAACCTTGAGACCGCAGAACAGACCAAAGGGAACCATCCATCTGGGGTAAACATGGGCCTGGGAGGCCAGCACAGTCCATCTGCCTTGTAAAAGTGCAATGATGTCACCTGCATGGTGGCACACACCTGTAATCCTAGCACTCAGGAGGCTGAGACAGGAGGATTGCTGTGAGTTAGAGGCCAGAGTGGGCTGTATAGTGTGTTCAATGTCAGCTCGATGGCACAGTGGACCTTGCCTCAATCAATAAATGCTAGTGCAGCAAACCACCCTACGACATGGATAGGGGTGGAGTCCATTTCTCTGCCGGTATGGTCATTCAAATTATTACATACACTTGGAAAGTGATCACACTCTCACCATTGGTGAACCAGGCCTGTTTCGCTTGCCACATGCCTGGTAGGCCGAGTCACTGAACTGATGCTTTGCAAAAGAGAGCTGATTCATGTGGTCAGGAATGTGGAGCCGGGAAGCCAAAGCTCAAAACTGCCTCTCCAGGGACCAGTTTGGAGATGTGGATGGGAGAGAAGCGGGGTGACAGAAAGAGAGGGGGAAGGTGGGGGGTCTGCGGCAGCTGCCTGAGTGGGGCACTCTGTTCAGAAAGCGATGGCAGGGCTGGGATGCAGCTCAGTGGCACTGTGCCTGCCTGGCAAGCACTAGATTCTGAATTCGATCCCCGGTACAAAAATCAAAACAGCTGGGGATTTATCTCTGTGGTTCCGCCGCCTGCCTTGAAAGCGCAAGGTCCCAAGTTCAATCCCCAGTACCAAAAAGGCAACAACAACAATAAAACAAAGCAGAAAGCGACGGCATGAGTGTGATCCGAGGCTGGCGTTGAGGGCCTTCCAATGCCAGCAGGTCCCCCACTGGACACTCGTGTCGGCCCAACTGAAAGGTGGTGATTTCAACACAATGTCTAGGACCAAGCTCATAGCGGACTAAAAATAGATTGCTCAGCAGTGTGACCTCCAAAATTAGTGATTGGGGTTTTTGTTTGTTTTCTGAGATACGGTCTTGCTATGCAGTTCAGGCTGGACTTGAGCTCATGGTGATCCTCCTGCTTTTGCCTCCCTTGTGCACAACCACCTTCAGCATAATGAAAGAAAAAGAATTGTTTTTAGGGCTGGGGATTTAGCTCAGTGGTTCTGCTGCCTGCTTCACGAGCACAAGGACCTGAGTTCGATCCCTGGTACCAAAAAAAATAATAATAATAATAATAATAATTGTTTTTGTTTTTCTTGTTTTGAGACAGGGCCTCACTATGTAGTTGAGACTGACCTGGAACTCACTGCAATATGCAGCCCAGGCTGGTCTCGAACTCACAGTGATCCTCCTGTCTCAGCCTTCTGAGTGCTGGGATTACAGGCATGTGCCACCATGCCTGGCTAAAAGAATTGGTTTTAATACTGGGGAATTAATCCAGGGCCTTCATACTGAGCTGTATCCTAGCTTTTATTTATTTATTTATTTTTTTGAGATACGATCTCACTACATTTTCCAGGAAGAACTTGAACTTGTGGTCCTCTTGCCTCGGCATCCTGGGGTGCTGGGATTACAAGTGTGTGCACCACCACACTCAGCTCATCATTGTCTTTGTTTGTTTTTTGAGACAGGGTCTCGCTCTGTTCAGGCGGGCCTTGAACTTACTATGTAGCCCAGGCTGGCCTCAAACTCATGGTGATTCTCCTGCCTCAGCCTCCTGAGTGCTGGGATTACAGGCATGCACCACCACACCTAGCACCACTGCCTTTGTTTGTTTGTTTTGGTACTGGGGATCGAACTCAGGACCTTGAGCTTGTGAAGCAGACAGCAGAACCACTGAGCTAAATCCTTGGCCTGACCTTCTTAAAATCATAGTAGTTGCCCATCTGTTCCCTTATGTATCTTGTTGACCCTGTCTGTTGTTACAGCAAAGTGCAACAGCTCAGTGTTACAGCCAAGAGTTACAGCTATCCAGAGGTCTCTGGAGGCAAAGAAATAGAGCGGCACTTGGAGAGATGCAGGGAAACTTTATTACACCAGTGGGCTCAGAGGAGTTTGTACTCCAGTGTCTGAGCCCTGAACATAAATCAAAGCAACCTCATATAGAGATCTATGGGGCAAGCGGTTGGGCCGACCTACTGGGCGAGCATGCTCATCGGGGCAGATGGGCAGAGTTAATAGGACATTCACGAAACCTTAGGCAGAAACACCTGCGGCACAGACATTCACATTGCTTGAATATTTTATGGCAAAAACACGGGGGGGGGGGCAATGCGTGCCCTGTTGTGCACTGTCCTGTGTTTGTCCTTATCACCATGACTGTCCTGGTGCATAAAATCAACACCATTCACAATCAGTGTACATTATGCAAGCATTTTCGGGTGCTCTAGTAAATCCTGCATGTATTCATGCTTCAACCCGCAGACAATCAAGACATAAAAGCACATAGCTGGATGTAGTGGTGCACGCCTCTAACCCCAGCACTCAGGAGGCTGAAGCAGGAGGATTGCCGCAAGTCTGAGGACAGCTTGAGCTCCGTACTGAGCTGAAGGCCGGTCTGAACTGTATGTCTCAAAACAATAAATAAATATAGCACAAAAGGAGATTCCCCTCCTGGATGAACCTGGGAGCTTCTGTAAGAAGTGGCCCAGGTACCAGGCCTGGCCTCACCCTGATGCCAACTCCTGATGAGCTGAGTGACCTCCAGGCCGACAGCCACACGTAAACTCAACAAAGAAAGGCCGACACAGAAGTGGGTAAGGGCAGAAACAGAAATGGGCATATTTCGTCTGCCTGAGGTGCCAGGTAGCCAGGAGGCTGCCGTTACCAGAGACCCCTTGCTGCCCACACCCTGGGGCTGGCTTGGTACCCAGGCCCTGCAATCCCATCCTCTGGCTGACCCCAGACCTGGCCCGAAGGGGGCCAGCGGGGCGTTTGTTTACTTGTTTTTGTTTCTGTTTGGTTATTGATCAGGGTCTGAACTTCCGGCTAGTTCTCTTTGTGAAGCTTGCACCCACCTGCAGTGGGTGAGGGAGACCCCAATGCTGGTCCCTTACGATCCTCCGGCCCCTTTTCTCACAGCCCCCTCTCCCCTCCCAGCCAACCCCGCTGATCGAGCACCCGTCTTCTGTTGTCGGGGCTTAAACATAGTTTGGCTGGGGCTTTATTTGCAGGGTCTGACCTGCTGTGCAGATGCTCACTATGACTTCTGGCCAAGGTCTTCCCTCTCAGACTCCTGGTCTGAGAAAGGGCAAGGGCCTAAGGTCTGTTCAAAGCAAACCCAGGCAGGGCAGCGCATCCCTATAATCCCAGCACTCTGGGAAGCTGAGACAGGAGGATTGCAAACTCAAGCCCAGTCTGAGCAATTTAGCCACTTACTGAGACCCTCAACAGTGAAAATTTTTGAAAAAGAGGCTAGAAGGATAAGGCAGGAGGATCATTGTGAGTTCAAGGCCAGCCTAAACTATATAGTGAGAAGCCGGACATGGTGGCGCCTGCATGTAATCCCAGCACTTGCGAGGCTGAGGTAGGAGGATCGCTGTGAGTTTGAGAGCAGCCTGGGCTACATAGTGAGTTCCACATCAGTCTCAACTACGTAGTGAGACCCTGTCTAAAAAAAAAAAACCCAAAACACAACAACAAAAAAACTATATAGTGAGACCCTATCTCAAAAAAAAAAAAGGGATTAAAATGTAGTTCAGCCAGGTGTGGTGGCACAGCCTGTAATCCCAGCACTCGGGAGGCTGAGGCAGGAGGATCGGTGAGAGTTCGAGACCAGCCTGAGCTACACAGTGAGTTCCAGAGCAGTCTGAACTACATAGTGAGACCCTGTCTCAAAAAAACAAAAAACAAACAAAAAACCCAAAAGATGTAGTTCAATGTGAAGGTCCTGGATAGAATCCCCAGTACCACAAAAAACAAAACAAAACAAGACATAAAACACTTTAGAGCTGGGCACGGTGGCAGGTGCCTGTAATCCCAGCACTTAGAGGCTGAGGCAGGAGAATCAAGGCCAGCTTGGGCTACAAAGTGAGACCCTATCTTAAAAAAACAAACAACAATAGCAACAACAACAACAACAACAAGTTAGAATAATTAAATTTAGGAGCTTATTCGAGCAAGGGAAAAATTCATGAATTGGGCAGCACCCTGAACCAGGGAGCAGCTACAGGATAGGTAGAATTTGCAGGCAGAAAAAGCAGAGACATCATACAGAAATCACCCCATTATTTATAATTTCCTATGCTTTATGTAGACTGTGTGTGTGTGTGTGTGTGTGTGTGTGTGTGTTGAACCCAGAGCCTTTGCACTGAGCTACATCACCAGCCCTTTTAAAATTCTTTTATTTTGAGATGGGGGTCTCGCTGAGTCACTAAATTGCCCAGACTGAGCCTGACCTTGCAGACCTCCTGACTCAAGCCTCCCAGAGCTCAGGGATTACAGACATGAACCACCATGCCCTGGGTGGATCCGGTTTTTTGTTTGTTTGTTTGGTTGGTTGGGTTTTTTGTTTTCTGGTTTTTTTTTTTTGGCAGTTTGTAGCCTGTGATTGGCTGAATACTCTGGGCTGTGATTGGCTGAGAGGACTTGTTACAAGAAAACAATCAGGTTGGGCCCTGGACAGGTTGCAGACTGTTGCCATATTAAATTAGGTCACAGTTCACTGCCTATGGAGGCCACTTAATGAAAGAGCCCCCTTTCCGGTTCTGATGTTTTCTTCGTTGTGTGGATTCACCCAGACTTTTGTGTTTGAAAAATATCAATGTACAGAGAAATTGCAAGAAAAGTACAGGAATAATGAGATTCATCAGGTATTATCTCCCTCTCTGCTCGTCCCCTCATCTCCCTATTCCTTTTTCCGGGGACTAGGATAGAGTGAGTTAGCAGATATTGGACTCTCTACCCCAAAATACGCCCTCCACACATCTCCCCGGAACAAGGCCACTGTCCTCCGAAGTGTAACTGCCAAGCTGAAGCTGTCACCGGGCCGTCTCCTCGGCCGATCAGATCAGGTGCTGCTGACGACTGACTGCCAGGTGTCACAGGCCCCAGGCGGGGAACCCTTTCACTCTGATACCAACCGTGTCCTGATCCCCGCACTTTCCCTCTGGTGATTTCAGTGTTGCTGGTGATCCCGGCCCCCACCAGCTGCCATCAGAGTGGTTTATGAACTGCTTCTTGTCAGGGGAAAAACTCCCTTCCTAATCCTCTGAGGCACACAAACTCCTCTGTCCTCAGCAGTTTGGCAGGGAATCCCTGGCCTGGTCCGGGCCTTGGCTCCTCCCCAGAGGCTGGGAGGTGGGTGGGCAGAGACTGCAGCCTCCACTTGCCAGAGAGCCCAGCTGAGGTAAAGCAACTCACCCCAGGAGCCGGAGAGCTACAGCCCTCCGCCGCCGACCAGAGGGTGGGGAAGGAGGCTCCCAGACCAGGTCCAGCTCAGTGTTTATTTTTTGTTTTGTTTTGTTGGTTCTGGAAATCAAACTCAGGTCCTTGCGCTTGTGAAGCAGGTAGCGAACCACTGAGCTAAATCCCCAGCCCTCAGGTCAGCGTTAGGGCCTGGGGTGGAGCTGTCCTAGGTTCCCCCCCACCCCACCCCCCGCCATTAGGATGTAGGTTTTACACTGTCAGGTTCAGTAGAAGAGCAGGCCTATAATCCCTGCAATCTGGGAGGCTGAGGCAGGAGGACTGCAAGTTTAAAGCGAGCCTGGGCACCTTAGTGAGACCCTGTCTTGAAAACAAAAACCATAAAAAATGGACCGGGGGAGGGGTGGACAGGGACTTGGCTCAGTGGTGTCATCGTGGCCTGCCTCACAAGTACAAAGTCTTGAGTTCCATCCCAGGTACAAAAAAAAAAAAAAAAGACGGGGTGAAGCTTGGTGCAAAAGCCCTGGGTTCAGCCTGGCATGATGGTGCACACCTGTGATCCCAGCACTCAGGAGGCTGAGACAGGAGAATCAGAAGCTTCAGGCCAGCCTGGGTTACATACTGAGCTCAAGACCAGGTGAGACCCTGTCTCAAAAAATTTTTTCAAAAAGCCCTGGGTTCAATCCCTAGTACCTCAAAAACAAAACAAACATAAACTGTACCCACAGTTAAATTCTTTTTTCCCATAGTTAAATTCTTTTTTTCCCACAGTTAAACTCTTTATTCAGATAAACAGTCATGTTTTAGCCTAAGTACATCCCAAATATTGCTCAGAATGTTTTATATTTAAATAGTTGTACTGGGCCGGGAATTTAGCTCAGTGGTTCCGCTGCCTGCCTCGCAAGGGCAAGCTCCTGAGTTCAATCCTCGGTACCAAAAAATAAAAATTAAAAAGAGTTAAGAGGAAATCTCTCCAAAAAAAATAAATAAATAAAATAAAATAGTTGTAGTAAAAGTCACAATGTCTGCATTGTTCGCACCCGGGCTGGCGTTGCCAGATGAAATATAGAACATGCACAGTTAACTTTCAGGCCAATAGTGAATGCTTTTCTCCTCAGGTGTGGTCATCAGATGGTGAAGTCTCCAACTGGGGCCTTGAATGCCAGGATGAGCTACCCTTCTGAGGAAGGGACAGAGTTTGCAGGGCAGGCGCCACACATCCAGAAAGTGCCCTCTGGCCATGGGAGGAGGCAGGGCAGGGGACAGTTTGGGACACTGGCTGGTGATATGGTCAAATCAGGCCAGCACCAGGGGATAAAAGGAGCTTTCAGGAGCAGGACCCACGGGGCAGAGGCCTAGGTGCAGGGGAGGGCAGGTCAGGGCCTTGGGGCTGAAGGAGGGGCTGAGGGGCCCTCAGGGGGAGGAGGGGCCAGTGAGGGAAGGGGAGGCCAGCCTGGAGAGAAACAGGAGCAGAGGGGGCTGGCTCTGAGGGACCCGAAGGGGAAGGGAGGTGTCCCTGCAGGGGCCCCAGAGTAGGACAAGGCCTCCACCTCTTGAAGGTGAAGCGAGAGTCAGGTGCTAGAACCAATGGGCTAAATCCCTGGCCCACCCCGGCGCTTGCAATGGGAAGAGATCTTATTGGTAAAGGGAGAGAGGAGCAGTCATTCCAGCACTCTGGAGGCCGAGGCAGGAGGATGCAAAGTTCCAGCCCAACCTGGGCAATTTGGAACTTGGTGAGACCCTGTCTGAAATGAAAAATAAAAAGTGCTGGGGAGGTAGCTCGGTGCGAAGGCCTTGGGTTCAATCCCCAGTGTTGAATAAAAAAACAAGAGAGAGGGTTGGGGAGAAGGGGGAGGGGGCTGGGGAGTGGTGTGGCGGGTGCCCAGCGTGGGAAGAGCTCCGAGGCAGGAGTCCCAAGGCTGACCCCAGTCCTCCTTAGAGGCCGCTGTGCACTGTGCGATCTCCGCAGCGCAGCCGGTCCTGTGGGAACCGGAACCTTATCAACCCCTCTCATCAGAGGGTGTGGAGCCCGCCCTATCCTGGAGGATCCATGACCCTTGGTGGCAGAGGCCTCTGCAGGATCCCTGGGGATAGGGAGCCCGCCCAGACGGCAGAGCCCGAGAACAAGTCACCCCTCTCCCGGGCAGCCTGTCCGCACCTGAAGCACAGAGACCAAGGCTCACACAGCTGGGGACGGTGACCCTGGGGCTCGAGCCAGGATCTGTCCACTCCTGGGACTTGCTGTATCCCCCAGCTTGGGCACCGGCTGTGCCTTCGGACTTAGCCTTCGGGTTTCCTCTTTGGTGTCTGCCTGGGATGCCCGTACCGGACAGCAGAGTGGACGAGGGGCTGGGGGTGAGGAGAGCTGTGGGTGCTCCGTGTCCCCCACAACGCCAGCTCTCCCAGGCCAGAAACATCCATCGATAAGCACGTGGCTCTCCGCTGCAGTCCCGAGTCCTGAGCAGAACTGCGGGGTGCCCTGGCGAGGACAACTCTGCCCTGCTGCCGGACCTGCTCAGGGTTAAAGCCGAGACATGAAATTGCTTGGGCAAACAGAGAGCAAAGCCTTAAAATCCTCCCAGCCATTCAACCCAAGCACCAACGGGTATGGGTGTCAGCTTGTACCAGGGTCCCAGAGCCGCCTCAAATGACCAGCTGTGTCGCAGTTCAGGTGCACTGAAGTCCCCAATCCGGGTCCCCATCGTCACGTGGCCTCTTCCCCTCATCACTGGCACCAATCACTGGATTTAGAGCCCACCCTAAATCCAGGATGACCTCATCTTGAAATCATAACACCTACAAAGTCCCTATTTCCAACCAAGTTCGCACCTTGAGATCCACCACGATGGGGACTTGCTAGAAACTACAGGCCCCCGCGTGCTTCCCGCGGAAGAGCCTCCTGTTTGATGGGAGCTGTTACGCTTCATCTGCTGAGCCGCCACGCGCTGTTCAGTAACCCACCGGAGGCCGCATGTCCTGAGTCACCGACAGCCAGGCTTGTTGACCGAGTCCATGTTCTCCACGTGGGGCATAACTGCCGGGGACAGGAATCTAACTCACGCTGGCAACACATAAAGGGATTTTCTTGAAGGTCCCTGGGTGGCCTGCATGGAAGGAGGGGCTCTGAAAAGGGTTGGACGGTAACCAGAGCCAAGACCTCTATCTCCCTCCCCACCTCTCTACCCACAGAGCTTTCTCTATCTCCCACCATGGGCATCTTGACACCCAGGCTCTGAGACTTCTGGAGCCAGGTAGGCGGATCACAAGCATCCTCAGGAAGGGACCCGATTGGTCTGTCTTTCCAGGAGCTCACCTTTGGCCCAATCAGCATGTCCAAAAGGTTGGTGCATTCTAATTGGCTCAGTTTGGGACAGGTGCCCACTCTTTAGCCAATCACTGTGGGGAGGGGGTGGCGGCCAGTGGAGCCTAACTTCCTGTGGCACCGCTGGCCTAGGGCAGAAGGTGGTGGGCGTGGTCTGCAGGAGAAGGAACCCGTCCACTGGGGCCACCAGAAGGGAGGCAGTGAGTCCGCTGCCACCCGGTGGGGAGCATCACAGGAAAAGGCTCCAGCCCTGGTTAGCTGTGTGCCCTGGGCCATGGAGAGGATGGGATGGCATAGCTTGGGGACTTTATGCAAACCAAGGAGGAGGAGAAGCTCTGTGGGGTGAGCAATCGAGGTCTGGCAAGGGGCCCACGTGGAGAGATAGGATCAGAGATGATCTGGCCCCTGCTTTCTGTTTTTCCTTGGATTTCCCCTTTCCCCTTCCCTGTGCCGGCTGCCCCAGGGAAAGACTTGGCTTGGGAAGCTGCCACCTGAGCCAGTGGAGAGAGGTTCCTTCCTCTGGGCAGAGAGCTGCTGTGACCTGGAGGGAGAGAGGCCCCTGTCTTGGCCACAGAGAGGAATGTAGTAGGGAGAGGCCAGGGAGGGCTGCTCCTGGCCTGTAACATGCCTTTGTGCAACCCGAGAAAAGCGCCCAGCTGCGGGGGTGGGTATCCCCTTCCCACGATGGGACCTGGGGCTTGGCCAGCGGCCGGCTGGGCTTTGAGCCAGGGCTGTGTGGGTGACCCCGGGCCAGTAGGACCCAGTGGGAGGGCAGAGGACACAGCTCACAGCTCAGCCCTGGCCCTCCGATCTGTGAGGGTGGCGGTCTTAGCAGGAACCTGGAGGATGAGGGCTAACCCGGGATTGAAACGCCTGAGGCTCTTGTGACGGCTCCTGGCTAGACGCCTCTCCAAGCCTGTGCAGTCATAGGTGGGGCTTTCTCAGAGGCGGCTGTGTCTACAGTGTGGGACTTGTGCAGCGCTGGGAGTAAAGGTGGCGAGACTCACTCAGGCCACCGATTGGTTTGGCACAGCCCTAATCCCAGGAGCCTAGAAAGGGATAAAAGGGGCAGAAAAAAGCTGCTGAGGTCTCTTGCTTTCTTTGGGGTGGGGTGGGGGGTACCGGGGATCGAACTCAGGACCTCGCATGTGCGAGGCAGCGGCAGCACCACTGAGCTAAATCCCCCGCCCCAGAGGCATTTTGCTTTTGCTGTCCTGCCTGGAAGGAGCTGTTTCTCCTCTGAGAAGCCCCTCTGCCATGTAACACTCTGCCTTGGAGGCCGCGGATGATGGACGGAAACCTCTACAAACAGCTAAATAAACCTTTCCTGCCTTAACCTTGAGGGTTGGGTATTTTATCTCAGCAACAAGAGTAAAGTAACTAAGACAGCCTGAGAACCGGTGTGTTTCCTGCCCACCTGGCAGAGTTCTTGAAAACTGAAACTGTCCGTTAGGAAACACAAAGTTCCTTTTTCTTTTCTTTTTTTTTTGAGACAGAGTCTCACTGTGTAGTTGAGACTGAACTGGGACTCACTCTGTAGCCCAGGATGGCCTTGAACTCACAGCGATCCTCCTGCCTCAGCCTCCTGAGTGCTGGGATTACAGGCGTGCAGTACCATGCTCGGCTAAAATACTTTCCTTGTTAACTTTTTTTTTTTTTTGGTACTGGGGATTGAACTGGGGTCCTTGCAGTTGCGTGGCAGGCGGGTAGAACCACTGAACTAAATCCCTGGCACAAATAGTTTCTTGTACAACTGCATTTGTGGAGTATATATAATTCCTGCACAGCGCACACCAAAATCCATTTTACTCTCCCATCCACCCAGGACACAGCAAGCCACTGCCCATCTTTATTTATATTTTATTTTTCCGGTACCGGATATTGAACTTGGGTCCTTGCACTTGCAAGGCAGGCCACCGAACTGCTAAGCTAAATCCCCGGCCCGCCACTGCCCATCTTTCAGGGAAGGAAGGTGAGCCAGAGACACCCAGACCCCTTCCTTTCACTCACTTCCCATCAGCTATTTTTCAGCTATTTACCTAGTTTTTGTTGGTGCTGGGGATCGAACCCGGGGCCTGACATTGAACTTGGGTCCTTGCACTTGCAAGGCAGGCCACCGAACTGCTAAGCTAAATCCCCGGCCCGCCACTGCCCATCTTTCAGGGAAGGAAGGTGAGCCAGAGACACCCAGACCCCTTCCTTTCACTCACTTCCCATCAGCTATTTTTCAGCTATTTACCTAGTTTTTGTTGGTGCTGGGGATCGAACCCGGGGCCTGACACCGGCTAGGCAAGTGCTCTACCGCTCAGCGACACCGCAGCCCTCTTTTCACAATTTTAGGCGCCAGTTACAGCCGCCACATCCTGCTGGGCCCCAGCTGGGGAGCTTGGTGGACAGCCTTGGCACGCTGAAAAGTGCCCCATCTTCAGCTGTGCGGCCCAGTGCGACTGCCCTAGCACTTGGCTCTCTGAGACCAGGTCCTCCCTCATTTATAATGGGGTAATAGTGGTGAACAGTGGAGTTTTTTCCCTCTCTGTTTTTTTTTTTTTTTTTTGGCAGGGGGGTTGTTTTTTTAAGACAGGGTCTCACTATGTAGTTGAGACTGACCTGGAACTCACTATGCAACCCAGGCTGATCTCAAACTCACAGCGATCCTCCTGCCTCAGCCTCCCCAGTGCTGCAATTACAGACATGTGCCAACACGCCTGGCTGCAGGCTCATTTTGTGTATTTTCTGCCCTGGTCCTAGAGTAGCCGTTTCTCCTAGGCCTTTGGTTCCTCTTACTGAAGAATGATGTCACACACAACAGGGTATCGCTGAGCGCTGTCACATGCTACGAATAGAGACTTTATCTACCTATCAGTTTATAGCTGCTCTTCTTGTTTCCACCTTTTGGCTGTTCGTGTAGGGATCTAGCCTCCCATGACTGCAGTCACTACTGCCATGCCTGCCCCCAAACAACTCGTGTGTTTTTCCTGCCTAGTTTCCCGCAAACCATAAAGAGATAAAAACCACCAGAGAAGTACCTAGAGCGGTACACAGGCCCTGGCTCAGGAACGCGCCTGGCTCTGACATCAGCTTAAGATAAATCAGGAGCATTCCAGCAAGATGAAGTCACTTTTGTCCTTTCTGACCCAAACTGCAGGATCCAGCTGGTGTTCTTTGGGAGGGGGCAGGGTCTCACTATGTAGCCCAGGCTGGCCTCAGAATCCCAGCAATCCTCCTGCCTCAGCCTTCCAAGTGCTGGCATTACGGGTGTGCGCCACCACGCCTGGCTCATTGATTTGAATTCCCTTCTTGGCAAATGGCATGAAGCATCCTTTCATGTGCTCTCTGGCTGTCTGTACAGCTTCTCTGGAGATGTGTCTGTGCTTCAGATCGTCTGCCCATTTTTAATCAGATCATTTGTCTTGGTGACTGATTTTTAGGGTCCCGTTCAGGGTTGCCTCTGAGGCCCTCCTTGTGCTGTACCCTAGTCCCAGCTCTGAGCTGCAGGAAGGAACAGGGTACCCTGAGTCTCGGGGTATCGTGGTAGTATGAGAATTTGGTGACCACAGCAAGGGTCCTAAACCCAGGACGGAGGCGGGAGGGGCCCAGCAGGATGGTCTGGCCCTGCACAGCCTCGGGAAGCCAGGAAACACACCAAGGTCCCCCAGCAGGTGAGGGCAGGGTCTGCTGGGTTCGCGCACCTCATCCCTCTGTCCCCATAGGGCCCCCCCACCTGCTCTCCAGGCCAAGCTCTACCCGCTTTATTTGCTTCCTGCCTGAAATTCCGCATATTTGTCTGTAAACCGGTTTATACCTGGGGTGTTCTCTACCATAACAGAAAAAGTGCAGTGATTCCTGCGAAAATAAACTGGAGCCCCCTGGAAAAGCTCAGTGACAGGCCCGTGCTCTCAAAATGCCTGCCAGTTCAGTGAGCGAGATGCTAGGGCTCCGCGATAGCTAAATACCCAGAAGGGCTCCTGGGTCCCACCGCTCCTAACGCGGCTCCGGCTCTGATCCCATGTCGGAGAGTCCAGCCCGGACACTGGGAGAAGCACTCAGGGGTCCCAGCCCGACCTTCTAGGACAGGGCCTCATCAACAGAGTCACAAGGGACTCTCAGGTGAAAGCAACAAAAGCCAGACATGGTGACATGCGCCTGTGGTCCCCACACTGAAGAGGCTGAGGCAGGAGGATCACCAGAGAACTTGAGGCCAGCCTGGGCTCCATGAGAGCCTGTCTCAAAGCATAAAAACAACGGCCAGGGATTTAGCTCAGTGGCTCTGCTGCCTGCCTTGCAAATGCAAGGTCCTGAGTTCAATCCCCGGTACCAAAACAAATAAATAAATACAAATAAATGGAAACGAAAGAACAGGAAAACAAACTGTGCCAATCCCTACCTGTGGCTCCCCTGCAACCAACTTTTAGCCGTTTCGCCCATGGGTCCCCTTGTGTTGGGCATCAGTGCTGCGCTCCGTGGGTCTCTGTCGCCAGTACTGTGGGGTGACAGAGAAATAGGGGTCCCAAGGTCAGCGAGGGGAGAAAGCGGTGGGCAGGACCGGCTCTGGGCCTACAGGCACCTTTGTCCTTTCTTGGTGTTTTGAGACAGGGTCTCCTATGTAGTTGAGACTGAACTGGAACTCACTGTGTAGCCCAGGCTGGTCTCGAACTCACAGTGATTCTCCCTCCTCAGCCTCCCGAGTGCTGGGATGACAGGTGTGCGCCACGACGCCCGGCTCCTTTGTCCTTTCTTGGTGTTTTGAGACAGGGTCTCCTATGTAGTTGAGACTGAACTGGAACTCACTGTGTAGCCCAGGCTGGTCTCGAACTCACAGTGATTCTCCCTCCTCAGCCTCCCGAGTGCTGGGATGACAGGCGTGCGCCACGACGCCCGGCTCCTTTGTCCTTTCTTTGAGGTCCCTGTTCCCATGGCTACTTAGTGCCCCCACTTGATCATAAGAACAAAGGACTTGTTCACAGGCTGAGGCGGGAGGGTCCCAAGTTCGGGCCAGCTTGGACAACTTGGCCAGACACTGTCTCAGAAACCAAACATCAAAAGGCCTGGGTGTGTAGTGATGTAGCTGGGTGTGAAGGTTCTGGGTTCAATCCCCAGTACAAACGAACAGGAAGTATTTCTGCCCCAGGTGCTTCCGTCTAATTCTTCTGATAGAAAGCACTAGAACCTTGGAGTTGCCAACAGGAGGTTGGGTCGGGGATGGTATGATCTGGTTCAGGGAAGCAGGAGGCATCCTGGGGTCTCAGGCAAGACAGCCAGGCTGGTGGGGCCCGGGATGGGGGCGGGGCCAAGCTTCTATTCCACCTGGGAGAGCGCAGTCCCGGCCCCCAGCGCCCCCACGTGGACAAGTGTGAGAATGCCCCAAAACGGAAAGGAAAGGGAAGGAAACCTCGAGGGCCAGCCCTGCGCTGGCTCTGGGACCCCAGGCCCACCTCCGGCTTACCAGTTTAGCCCTCACATACTTGGGAGTCTCCCCCACCCTACACCATTTCTTTTCTTTTCTTTTTTTTTTTTGAGACAGGGTCTCACTATGTAGTTGAGACTGACCTGGAACTCACTGTGTAGCCCAGGCTGGTCTTGAACTCACAGCAATGCTCCTGCCTCAGCCTCCTGAGTGCTGGGATTACAGGTGTGCACCACCACACCCAGCTACACCATTTATTTTCATTGACCTGAATGGCTGGTGACAAAATGACAAAGCCGCCCTGTGTGAGGGCGCACATCTGTAATCCCGGCATTCAGGAGGCTGAGGCAGGAGGATCGCTGAGAGTTCAAGGCCAGCCTGAACTACACAGTGCCTGGGCTCCAAGGCCAGGCTGAACTAGATAGTGAGAGCTTGTCTCAAAAAAATGAAAACAAGGGCTGGGAATTTATCTAGTGGCACCGTACCTGCTTCCCAATGCAAGGGTCCTGAGTTTGATCCCTGGTACCTAAAAAAAAAAAAAAAATTTTTTTTCTTTTTTCCAAGAAAAGGGGTCTAGTCTGATTCGGGCCCCTAGCCTGAGCCCCACTGCGGATTGGTCCCATCTTGGGGTCTCCTATAGCTCAGAGGAGGAGACTCGGGGCCCCAGCTGAGCTTCCAGATGTGCTCCCCGCTTTGGGGAGCAGCCCTGTCTGCGACAAACACCCTGGGATTCTGCGGGTGACCGGAAGTGGGGTCTGGCAAATTTCACAGGGCTCCGGGAGGGAAAAGGTCTCCAAACCACGTGCAGTTGTTTACAACAGAAACCACCCTTTTGGGGTTAACTCCCCAACTCGCCTCTGCAGGGATCAGGTCCCTCCTGTCCCTCCCCAGGAGGGTCGAAATTCTCCACCTCCCGGTTCATCTCTCAAGGCCAGAAACACAGGGTGCTTTGTTTCAGCCTTCCACCATCTCATTTTACTGTTAGAGCCTCATTTGTTTTTTTGGTACCAGGGATCGGACTCCGGACCTTGTGCTTGCAAGGCAGGCAGTGGAACGACTGAGCTGAATCCCCAGCCCTGAGACTCATCTGTTTAACGAGATCTGGTGAATGTGTCCACCATTTCCTGTGCGGATTCTACGAGAACATTCCTGGGAGCCTGGAATATACCTGTCCCAAACAGTCTCAGCAGCCCCTGGCCACTGCGGCCTCTGTCTCTGCAGGGAACGGGGAAAGGGGACGTTACTAGAACCTCTGCATGGGGTCCTAGGCTACGAGCCAGGCCAGCACAAGGATTAATTACTACAGACAGAAAATGGAACTGGAGAAGAAGCTGAGCTTCGGCCTGATCCATGCCGCGCTGAGCAGCAAAGGCCCTGGGCCCTGAGCTGGCCACACCTTTATTCAGAGCATCAGCAAAACAGAAGCAGCAATGACTCAGGGGGCAGCGGCATCACCAGACCCTTGAGGTCTAGTTGTGACCGGGAGGCGAAAATGGAGTTATAGGGCTGAGGATTTAGCTCAGTGGTGCTACTGCCTGCCGCGAAAGTACAAGGACCCCAGTTCGATCCCCAATACCAAAAAAGAAAAACAACAACAACAACAACAACAAAGAGCGGAGTTATGTCTCCACATGCCATAGCTGGCCTGTAGGCAGGACGACTAAGGCTTAATCATGATTTCATTACGAAATGATTTTTCCCCCAAATCATGTCGAATTGCTCCCGCCACGCCTCTGCCTCCCGTCTTGCTTCTACTTTGGTACTTCCTCCATTCTGCCTTCTGTGACATGCAGCCTATTAAAGGTGGGGATACGGCCGGGGATTTAGCTCAGTGGTGCTTCCACCTGCTTTGCAAGCTCAAGATTCCAAGTTCAATCCCTGGTACCAAATAAATAAAATAAAATAAATAAAGACGGGGATAGCTCAATGTTTGCTCAATGTCCTGCTCTTAAACACCCTTCAACAATTATTTTTTTGTTTTGAGACAGTGTCTATGTAGATTAAATTGGCCTTGAATTCGCAGTGATCCTCCTGCCTCAGCCTCCCAAGTACCAAGATTACAGGTGTGCACTGCCACAATTATTTTTTAATAATTTATTTTTTAAGCAGTGAGGATTGAACCCAAAATCCTCTCTGCTATAGAACCCTTTTTTATTTTTAGTTTTTGGACACAGTCTCCCTAAATTGTCCAGGTTGTCTTTGAACCTTTGATCCTCTTGCCTCAGCCTCCAGAGCTGCCAGGATTACAGGTGTGCGCCACTGAACACAGCTACCATTTAACCATTCCAGCACCAGACGCGGGGTGGTTTCCCCTGGCAGCAAGCAGGCCATCACTTCTACAGCAGACACAGCCAGGTGTCCTCCAAGGCGTCGGGTCCGACTCGACCTACCGCGAGCGGCATCCGACCCTCACGTCGAGGCCTCTGTCCCCAGTGCGCTCCACCACGGACGTCAGCCCTACGCCCACTGTGCCCTGCGCGTCTGACCAAGCAGCTGTGGCACTGCCAGCCCCTTCCTGGGGCACAATTCACTTGCAAGAGCAGCTCAGGCACCTCCAGGGCTGTGACAAAGGACGCACCCAAGGACACAGATGGGAACCAGAGGGCAGGGGAAGCGAGGACGGGCGCCCCCAGCCCTCTCTCCCAGTCTATGGGAGCTGCCATGTGTACAATGCAGAAGCTTCCCGAACTCTGACCCTTTGCACCTTTATGGCCATTTATTGATAGCATGATCACTAGTCCCGACGTGTCAGCATAATTCCATTAAAGGCCTCAGCAGATCAGAACAGAGCGCTCCTGGGGGAGCCTGGGTGCTCCCAGACAGTGAGCTCGGGGACCCATCTCTCTGCTGCCCCCTGCGCTGTGGCCGGAGCTCCATGAGCCCAGCCCCTGTGCTCCAGCCCCAGGCCCTTCCGCCTTGATGTCCCTGCCTCAGAGCTGGCGACCGCGCACCGAACCCCCGAAACTGTGAGCCCATTGGACCCCTCCTCCAAGCTGTGGGTGCTGGACTTTGTGTCCCCACACTGGAAAGGCTGACTAATCCAGGGTGCTGAGGGCACTGGGGACACCGGGGATGGGCGTGGCTTTGGCAGGGCTGGGCGGAGCCTGGGTGGGGGCTGACCAGGAGGAGGATGGGCTGCTCCATTGGGCGGGACCATCAGGGTTCGGGGACCCCCAGCGGCCCACTTGTCTGGCTTGGCTGCTGTAGCTCGGAGGTGTGCGCGCGGGTGAGATGTATGTGGCCACCGGCCGGGCCAGCTTCTCTGCCGCATGGCAGGAGGGGGGCCTCAGAGGCACGACCACTGTGGGTGACAGCTACACAAGTTGTGCAAGGACCTGGTGTGCACAGACAGGACAGTGCAAGGCTGCAGGGCCACAAAACTCCGCCCAGCACAAACTAGGAACAGGGTTTCTTTTCTGTTTCTTCTTTTTTCTTTTCTTTTTTTTTTTTTTTTTGAGACAAGGTCTCACTATGTAGCTGAGACTGACCTGGAACTCACTATGTAGCCAGGCTGGTCTCGAACTCACAGCGATTCTCCTGCCTCAGCCTCCCGAGTGCTGGGATTACAGGTGTGCGCCACCATGCCCGGCAGGGGCAGGGTTTCTGAATGTGGACTGGAGCACAGAACCTCGCTCGATGCCTGCCAGTCCCTGGCCCTCTGGACCTCTGACTTTGCTGAACTGGGAAGATTCATGGTCACCAAGTGCACTGATTAGAGGAGAAATACCAAGTGCCTACCCTAAGATGCCAGGCCATAGGCAATAAAATACAACAACCGTTCCTCATTTCTAAAAAGGACTGTCAGGGCCAGGGACTTAGCTCAGTGGTGCTGCCGCCTGCCTCACAAGGGCAAGGTCCCGGGTTCCATCCTCGGTACCAAAAATAAATAATAAATAAATAAAAAGGACTGTTAGCTGGGCATGGTGGTGCACGCCTCAGAAGGCTGAGACAGGAGGATCACCATGCCTTCCAGGCCAGCCTAGGTTACACAGCAAGGCCCTGCCTATAAAATAAAGTAGACTATTAAAATACAACAATCATTTCTAATTTTTAAAAGACTATCAAAATATGAATCAATTAGCTGAGCGTGGTGGTGCACACCGGTAACCCCAGACTTAGGAGGCTGAAGCAGGAGGATCTCTGCAAGTTCAGGGCCAGTCTGGGCTACACAGTGAGTTAAATGACAGCCTGAACATGGCTAGAGCCTATCTCAAAATAATAATCATAATCCCACTTAAAAAAAGGAAAATGTCAGGCACGGTGGCACACACCTGTAATCCCAGCACTCTGGGAGGCTGAGGCAGGATTTTGGTACCTGGGATCAAACTCAGGTCTTTGTGCTCGCAAAGCAGGCGCTGGAACCACCGAGCTAAATCCCCAGCCCTAGGCATGTATTTATAGAGAGACGAGTTAGGTAGAAATATAGGCAGTCAGACAGGGCTGGGCCCTCAAGGGAGTCAGTGCACATGTTGACAGCACATCACGAACTGTGGCTGCAGGGGCATCCGTCAGAGGCCGGGCCTCAAGGTAAAGATGGAAAGACCAGGGCCTATGCGCCTCCCCAGGGGCTAATGGGTACCACCTGGTCCAGCAGTCTAGACAGATGTCAGTCACCCAGGTGGGCGACCAGGACCCCCTGATCCATCCCTTCCTAAAAGGTCTTTGTTATTTCCAAGTACACTTGCTACGTGACCTGCTTACCCACTGGATCGATATTACCTGATCCGCTCTACTTGTAATCTTACTGGTTGATCACCGCTTTGGCCCAGTTTGTACCCACCTGGTGGTGCTTTTTGCTCTATAAAACTTCCTTTAAGAAGTGGGCTCTTTGGCAACCCACTTCCGGGCCCCTTCCTGTCTCTCGGGAGTTCTCTCTCTCTCGATAAAATTTTCCTATTCTTAACCTCTGTCATTTCCTAGAATTCATTCTTCGATCTTGGCAAACACAAACTCAGCATACCTGACATCTAGCAGGTGGAGAAGCTATGTTATTACCTGGTACATCAGGAGGACGGCAAGGTGGAGAAACTATGAACACTGGGGACGTAACTCAGTGTGAAGGCCCTGGGTTCAGCCTCCAGCATAAGAAACAGGGATGTAGCTCAGTGGTGCCACCAACTGCCTCACAAGCGCAAGGTCCGAAATTCGATCCTGGTACCCAAAAAAAAAGAAGAAAAGAAAATAAACTGGTTGCGTCGGGTACAGAAGCCCACCCCGGGGACGTCACCCATTCCCACAGCAGAGCGAGCGTGGTCCATTTTCTGACCCAGGGTAACACAGGAGTCAGGAGTTGGGGGTCTGGGGGGAAGGCGGGAGCCACCCGGGGATTTGGGGAGCTGGGGACCTCCTGGGACCGACCTCCTGCTGTTGACCCAAGCGGCGCGGTCCGGGGTGGAGAGCAGAAGTGACACACCCAGGTGCGTGGATCCCTGGTACCTACTGCACGTGTGTGCGTGTCTGCACGTGTGTGCGTGTGTGCACGTGTGTGCACGTGCGTGCGTGTCTGCACGCGTGCCGTGGACCACCCACGAGCGTGGGGCAGGTCGAGGTCGGGTGGTACAGCCGTGGTCCACAGCGACTATGCGTTCCCCTCCGGCCCTGTCCCTGACTTGGGGCGGACGCGCTCGAGGACCACGAGAGGTTGGGGAGCAGGGGCGGAGAGGGCGCGGGCACG